GAGTATTTTGACCACATCATCCTCTTTATGCATGTTGTCTTACTCCAAGCTGTATAGGCTGGAAAGCCTACTACCAATTAAGCATATTAGGTGATGTGTATCTCTGTAATGAGAAGGGGTGTGGTCTAATGACATCAACACCCTATATCAGGTGTGCATAATTATTAGGCAACTTCCTTTCCTTTGGCAAAATGGGTCAAAAGAAGGACTTGACAGGCTCAGAAAAGTCAAAAATAGTGAGATATCTTGCAGAGGGATGCAGCACTCTTAAAATTGCAAAGCTTCTGAAGCGTGATCATCGAACAATCAAGCGTTTCATTCAAAATAGTCAACAGGGTCGCAAGAAGCGTGTGGAAAAACCAAGGCGCAAAATAACTGCCCATGAACTGAGAAAAGTCAAGCGTGCAGCTGCCACGATGCCACTTGCCACCAGTTTGGCCATATTTCAGAGCTGCAACATCACTGGAGTGCCCAAAAGCACAAGGTGTGCAATACTCAGAGACATGGCCAAGGTAAGAAAGGCTGAAAGACGACCACCACTGAACAAGACACACAAGCTGAAACGTCAAGACTGGGCCAAGAAATATCTCAAGACTGATTTTTCTAAGGTTTTATGGACTGATGAAATTAGAGTGAGTCTTGATGGGCCAGATGGATGGGCCCGTGGCTGGATTGGTAAAGGGCAGAGAGCTCCAGTCCGACTCAGACGCCAGCAAGGTGGAGGTGGAGTACTGGTTTGGGCTGGTATCATCAAAGATGAGCTTGTGGGGCCTTTTCGGGTTGAGGATGGAGTCAAGCTCAACTCCCAGTCCTACTGCCAGTTCCTGGAAGACACCTTCTTCAAGCAGTGGTACAGGAAGAAGTCTGCATCCTTCAAGAAAAACATGATTTTCATGCAGGACAATGCTCCATCACACGCGTCCAAGTACTCCACAGCGTGGCTGGCAAGAAAGGGTATAAAAGAAGAAAATCTAATGATATGGCCTCCTTGTTCACCTGATCTGAACCCCATTGAGAACCTGTGGTCCATCATCAAATGTGAGATTTACAAGGAGGGAAAACAGTACACCTCTCTGAACAGTGTCTGGGAGGCTGTGGTTGCTGCTGCACGCAATGTTGATGGTGAACAGATCAAAACACTGACAGAATCCATGGATGGCAGGCTTTTGAGTGTCCTTGCAAAGAAAGGTGGCTATATTGGTCACTGATTTGTTTTTGTTTTGTTTTTGAATGTCAGAAATGTATATTTGTGAATGTTGAAATGTTATATTGGTTTCACTGGTAATAATAAATAATTGAAATGGGTATATATTTGTTTTTTGTTAAGTTGCCTAATAATTATGCACAGTAATAGTCACCTGCACACACAGATATCCCCCTAACATAGCTAAAACTAAAAACAAACTAAAAACTACTTCCAAAAATATTCAGCTTTGATATTAATGAGTTTTTTGGGTTCATTGAGAACATGATTGTTGTTCAATAATAAAATTAATCCTCAAAAATACAACTTGCCTAATAATTCTGCACTCCCTGTATATATATATATATATATATATATATATATATATATATATATATATATATATATATATATATATATATATATATAAATGATCTAAGTATATATAAAATTTCATTTTACACTGTTTTAAACTTTTTTTTTACTTTAATAGTTTGTCATACTTCACAAACAGATATTTGCTATACAGAGGGGATACATTAAAATAATATACAAAATCCGGAGTAACATTTTTAAACAAGTGCACAATATGCTGCCTTGCAAAGTGATCAGACCAACTATAATGAAACAAACTTGGTATATGTAAATTATAAACAGATTGTCCTACATAGCTGTAGGCCAAGATTACATGATATCCAACGTCTTGCAGAATTATTTTTCTTTAACACAGCATATGACATCTTCCCATTTGACAAGTAAAATCATGTTGACATTCATGACAAACATTTGGTACAAAAGCACATGAGAATGGCTGTAGAATGAAAACCTACTAATTATTTAAATTTCTGATTAGCAAATGGTCCATATCAACACAACCACTAGCACATTATTTGCCAACTAGTCAATAAAATATTGCAACAGGAAATAATGAGGGTTTAGGAGTATCACACCACTTTGTCAAGATATAGTTTTTGTGATTTTACCGACATACACATTATGCGGTCACCTACTCTGACCACATTCACAAAGCATTACTGCATAGCTCTAAAGGATAGATCGCAGGATGAAATAATTGAAGGAACAGGTTAAACCAGTTAGCCTAGGGACAGCTTTTGTTTAAATAACAAGGGTAATATATGTGATCTCAGCCAGGGCTCAAAACTATCCACATTGGCTTGTAGAAATGTACCCATTGTGACGTGCAGTGGCAAGTAACTTTTAGGGCCTGGATACCAGAGTAGGACTTGAAATGTACCTATTTAGATGTGCAGTGGCAAGTAACTTTTAGGGCCTGGATACCAGAGTAGGACTTGAAATTTTAAGCCCTGGCCTCACACTTGGAATTTCATAAGGCTCCTCAAAATTTGTAAACTGGCAATATTCAATGGAAAATCCAGTATGCAAACATGGTTAATCAATTTCAACATTCACCTTCCCTACATTAAGGTACAAATCAGAGACCACACATCAGAGACAAAACAGAACTGGATCTCACTTGAGAACAAAGATCATTCACAGTTCACTGACCAGACCCTATACTAGTTTACTTCTCATTTAGCCATTAGCCTGTAGCCATTTCATGATTTTAAAAAATACACTTCAAATCTATACTGGTTAGGATTCTTTAATTCCTTTGCCGAAAAGTATTTTAAATTGTTTAACAGAAACAGATATGAAATAATTGACATTGTTGCTTTGAGTGTCATGGAATCCTACACAGTCTAACAGGACATGTACAGGTGATACTCTAAAAATTAGAATATTATGCAAAAGTTCATTTATTTCAGTAATGCAACATAAAAGGGGAAACTAATATATGAGACAGACGCATTACATGCAAAGCAAGATAGTTCAAGCCATGATTTGTCATAAGTGCGATGATTATGGCTTATAGCTCATGAAAACCCCAAATCCACAATCTCAGTAAATTAGAATATTACATGCAATCAATAAAACAAGGAGTGTACCTAGAACAATATCGGACCTCTGAAAAGTATAAGCATGCATATGGACTCAGTACTTCGTTTGGGCCGCTTTTGCAGCAATTACTGCCTCAATGCAGCGTGGCATGGAAGCTATCAGCCTGTGGCACTGCTGAGGTGTTATGGAAGACCAGGATGCTTTAAAGCGGCCTTCAGCTCTTCTGCATTGTTCGGTTTCATGTCTCTCATCTTTCTCTTGGCAATGCCCCATAGATTCTCTATAGGGTTCAGGTCAGGCGAGTTTGCTGGCCAATCAAGCACAGTAATCCCACGGTCATTGAACCAGGCTTTGGTGTTTTTGGCAGTGTGGCCTGCTGGAAAATGAAGTCAGCATCCCCATAAAGCTTGTCTGCAGAAGGAAGCATGAAGTGCTCCAAAATCTCCTGGCTGCGTTGACCCTGGACTTAATGAAGCACAGTGGACCAACACCAGCAGATGGCATGGCTCCCCAAATCAACACAGACTGTGGAAACTTCACACTGGACTTCAAGCGTCTTGCAGTGTGTGCCTCTCCATTCTTCCTCCAGACTCTGGGTCCTTGGTTTGCAAATAAAATGCAAAAGTTGCTCTCATCAAAAAAAAGAGGACTTTGGACCACTGAGCAACAGACCAGGTTTGTTTTTCTTTTGCCCAGGTAAGATGCTTCTGACATTGTTTGTTGTTCAAGAGCAGCTTGACAAGAGGAATACGACATCCGAAGCCCATGTCCAAGATCCGTCTGTGTGTGGTGGCTCTTGATGCACTGACTCCATCCTCAGTCCACTCCTTGTGAAAGTCCCCAACATTTGAATGGCCTTTTTCTGACAATCCTCTCCAGGCTGCGGACATCCCTGCTGCTTTTTCTTCCATACTTTTCCCTTCCACATAACTTTCTATTAATATGCTTTGATACAGGACTTTGGGAACATCCAACTTCCTTCGCAATTACTTTTTGAGGCTTTCCCTCCTTATGGAGGGTGTCAATGATGGTTTTCTGCACAACTTTTAGGTCAGCAGTCTTCCCCATGATTGTGATTCCTACTGAACCAGACAGAGACCATTTCCAGTTGTTTAATTACTTACTTAGCTGTTTAGAGTGGGACACTGTGAGCCTAGAATATTGCACCTTTTCACAATATTCAAATTTACAGAGATTGTGGATTTGGGGTTTTCATGAGCTGTAAGCCATAATAATCACACTTATGACAAATCACGGCTTGAACCATCTTGCTTTGCATGTAATGCGTCTATCTAATATATTAGTTTACCCTTTTATGTTGCATTACTGAAATAAATGAACTTTTGCACGCTATTCTAATTTTTTGAGTATCACCTGTACAATGCAAACTATACTCAGGGCTTAAAGAAACATTGTATGTATCATATTAATTTGAGCTCATGGTACTATGATGATGCAGTGAGTCTTTGGGAGCCTTTTTCTAGTTTTCTAGCAAAAACAGGATATCCTCATGGCTCTGCATTTGCTGGGGAACCAGACTATAGGCTTGTCAAGTGCACTCAGTCTTTCATTGCTTTCAAGGTTGGAGGAGTTTAGATGCAAAATATGAGAAATGTAATTTCTATATTATCCAAATGGCTGAAGACAGACAGGGGTTTGAGTGTCAGATAGGCAGGGCTGGACTGGGCATACAAAGCAGCCCTGAAAAAAAATTAAAAAAAAAATCTATGCCAGCCCCATAAGTCATTGTGCCATGTATGGTGTGTAATAATATATATATATATCTCACACACTCTGAAAGGACCAATATTTTGAATTTGAAAAAGAAATATACCAATAATATGTAAGGTATATTACATATTATTGGTATATTCGTAAAATAAATATATCAATACTGTGTAAGGCTATGTCTTGCCACCCCAGATGATAGAGTAATATAGATATGTGTGTGTATATATATATATATATATATATATATATATATATATATATATATCTCAATCATCTGGGGTAGCATGACATAGCCTTACATAGTATTGGTATATTTCTTTTTCAAATATAAAATATTGGTCCTTTCAGAGTGAAACATTTAATTATACAGTAAGTATATTCACATGCAGACACAGACAATCTCACTGACACACACAAGATCATTGATGCACAGGCTCACAGAAAAAAATCTCATTGATATACATACGCTCAATGACATAAAAACACAAGCTGAGTGATGCACACAAATAGGCTCACTGACCGACAATCTCACTGACACACACAGACAAGCATATTGGTACACAAATTTAGTACAGACAAACTGACACGCACAAGCTTACTACAGACAAGCTCACTGTCACACAACCACATGCTCACTACAGACAAGCTCACTGACACAAACATGCTTCCAACAGACAATCCCACTGGCACACACTTGCTCACTACAGACAAGCTCACAGGCACACACACATGCTCACTTACCAACAGGCACACACACACACAAGCTCATTCACTAGCAGGCGCACACACACACACAATCTCTTTCATGGCTGAAGCTTACCTGGCACTGGTAAGTGAAGTTGCCATTTTGTGACCTTTTCCTCCCAGAGAGGTCAGCAACGTGTGTGGGGGTGGAGCTTGTGCGCGAGAGACAGGCTTCCATTAAGGAGGCAGGGCTTGCATGAAGCCCAATTGCAGCCGCACCAGCACCCAGCTCCTCCGTTTTTACTCCCCTTGGACTGACAGTCAGAAGGGAAAATCATTTAAATTACATAATTCTGATGATTTGGGCTGTCTGCCCAGCCCCAGGTGCTGCGGCCCACCAGGAAATGTCCTGGTATCCCGGCGGGCCAGTCCGGCCCTGCAGATAGGGCCATCTTTAATATTGATTGGAACATGGGCAACCATTTGCTTGGGCCCCCTGCCCCCTTCCACTCCCTGGCATGCAATCATGCTATCCACCCTAACACACTGGGAGAACTAAAGTAGAAAAGGGCCTAGGGCAAGAATTTTGGAGGGGCCTTCTTATCGCAAGGGTGACTAGAAAGTAGATCCCTATCTGTTGTGCAATTCCAACAATGCTTTGACAGCTATGGCTCTACCATTTTCCCACATGTGTAGGGTTGTGTTTACCACTGAGCAATGTTTATGTGTTTGTAAACATGTTTTTGTATGGAGTATGTTTGTATGTGAGTTTGGTGTTTAAAGGGACACTATAGTCACCTGAACAACTTTAGCTTAATGAAGCAGTTTTGGTGTATAGAACATGCCCCTGCAGCCTCACTGCTCAATCCTCTGCCATATAGGAGTTAAATCCCTTTGTTTATGAACCCTAGTCACACCTCCCTGCATGTGACTTGCACAGCCTTCCATAAACACTTCCTGTAAAGAGAGCCCTATTTAGGCTTTCTTTATTGCAAGTTCTGTTTAATTAAGATTTTCTTATCCCCTGCTATGTTAATAGCTTGCTAGACCCTGCAAGAGCCTCCTGTATGTGATTAAAGTTCAATTTAGAGATTGAGATACAATTATTTAAGGTAAATTACATCTGTTTGAAAGTGAAACCATTTTTTTTTTTTTCATGCAGGCTCTGTCAATCATAGCCAGAGGAGGTGTGGCTAGGCCTGCATAAACAGAAACAAAGTTTTTTAACTTCTAAATGACAGTGAATTGAGCAGTGAAATTTCAGGGAAATGATCTATACACTAAAACTGCTTTATTTAGCTAAAGTAATTTAGGTGACTATAGTGTTCCTTTAACACAGAGGGGTGTTAAAGGTCCACTATAGGCACCCAGACAACTTCAGCTTAATGAAGTGGCCTGGGTGCCAGGTCCAGCTAGCTAAACTGCTATGTTTACCTATGGGTTAATCCAGCCTCTAGTGGCTGTCACATTTACAGCCGCTAGATGCGCTTCCGCGCTTCTCACTGTGATTTTCACAGTGAGAAGATGCCAGCGTCCATAGGAAAGCATTGATGCTTTCCTATGAGACTGGCTGAATGTGCGCGGCTCTTGCCGCGCATGCGCATTCAGCCGATGACGGAAGAAGAGGGAGGAGAGTCCCAGCGCCGAGAAAGCCCGGTGCTGGAAAAAAGGTAAGGGATTAACCCCTTCCTCCCCCTTCAGCGCCACGGGAGTGGGACCCTGAGGGTGGGGGCACCCTCAGTGCACTATAGTGCCAGGAAAACGACTATGTTTTCCTGGCACTATAGTGGTCCTTTAAAGGATCACTATAGGGTCAGGAACACAAACATATTTCTGACCCTATAGTGTTAAAACCACCATCTAACCCCCCTGGGCCCCTTATGCCTTCATAAATATAGTAAAAATCTTACTGTATTAAAGCTTGAAGCTGTAACTCTGCATACTGTTTGCCTCAGAAAAACAAGCAGTGTGTGGACATCATCAGAAGTGGTAGCCTGATCCAATTACAATGCTTCCCCATAGGATTGGCTGAGACTGACAAGGAGGCAGATCGGGGCAGAGCCAGCATGATTCAAACATAGCCCTGGCCAATCAGCATCTCCTCATAGAGATGAATTGAATCAATTAATCTCTATGAGGAAAGTTCAGTGGGAGGAGATACTGAATGTTTGGATGCATTTTAGGCAGCCATGACCCAGGAAGAATCTCTAACAGCTATCTGAGGAGTGGCCAGTGAAGTTATCACTAGGCTGTAATGTAAACACTGCTTTTTCTCTGAAAAGACAGTGTTTACAGCAAAAAGTCTCCTCACCAGAACAAATTCAATAAGCTGTAGTTGTTCTGGTGACTATAGTGTCCCTTTAATATTTCAGTAAAGGAGTGCGTTTATATGTAGTGTTGGCATTTGAATGCTGAAATGTATACACATATTCACATACACACACCATGACACATGCAGACATACAGACACACCAGTACACATGCAGACAATCAGATATACACACACTGAACCACATGCAGATACACAGACACATACTGACACATATGCAGATACACACAATGCCAACATAGAGATATACACACATACAGGTAGACACATACACTGACAGACCCACAGATACAAACACAGAGAAACATACTGACACACTCACAGATACAAACACTGACAGATATACTGACACACATTGACAGACGTTAAGACACACACACACACACACACTGACAGACATACCCAGATACACAAACACTGACAGATATACTGACATTTTCAGACGCATACACTGACTTGCGGTTGTCACTTCCTCCCATTCTTCCAATAAGCAAAAGTGCCCAGTTGCACCGTCAAAGGGCCAAAGCTCCCGACAGGGTCCCTACTGACAAATGTCCACTGGATGGCCCTAAGTTCATGGTATATGCCTGTATCACTGGCCTGCCCCACTCCGGGCTGGTAATGCATAGAGCACAGAAGCATATTCCTCTAATGATAAGCTTGCATTGTGCTTGTTCACTACAGTACCATTGTCTCCCCAGATGCAGGATACAGGGACAAGATGCCAAAATCTTGGGACTGTTGAAAAGTAGTATACATAACCACTAACCTGAACTGGTGCTTAGAATGTACCTTTAAATGTATATTGTAGGAAGAGCAAATCAGTATTTCAGCATGTCACAAATGGCACATACAGTGCTTTGTTTACGTGTGCCATTTTATGTGTAACTAGACTCTTCTTCATATTAGCACATTTATTCCATGTATGACAACATATTATATATATATATATATATATATATATATATACACACACACAGCATGAATTCTGAATGTATTTGAAGAATACTAGTTAATCTTTCAAATTGCTTATTCTCAAAGTTGTCAGACATACCATCTGCTCTCTCATATAAGACTGTTCAATGACTTTCACAGCTAAGACACTCAAGACTCTAATGCAGATTGCATTAATTAATGAAGATCTCACAGATATTCTCAAAATCGGTGACTTAAAACTCTTCACGCCCAGAGTACAGCTTGTGTCATGATAGAGTAATACCCAACACACAGAACTTAAGTTAACTAAATATAATGAGATGTATTAAAAGACCTTAGAATGGTCTGATTTAACATAAAGTCATGGAAATGTACAGGGCAAGTCTAGGTCAGGGAAATCGAAGATATGAGACAAGCAAAAGATCAAGGGATACAGAGGTCACAATAGTCAAAGTACACACTACATACGTACGGAACATCGACTTGATGATGCACGCACATTCACAAGAGGAATTATGGGCACAACCTATGGAGCCATAGAATGCTATGACACGCAGAGGCCAGCAGTTCTCCTGCTTTCAGAAGCGGCTACCAAGGAAGTAAGGCTGAGCAGGGGAACGCACTGCATCAGAGAGCACCCTGGGTCCAAGATCGCGTTGTACCGGAGCATGTCCGCTGGGCGCTGTGACAGCTGGATTTTCTGGCTTAGCTTAGAGGTTAGCATAGTCACATAGACAATAAATTAAGTTAGCATAGTCACATAGACAATGTAAATTATTTCTCATATATTAAAGTAATACTTATTTGTACTGACTATTTATAATCATTTTAAGGCACATGTACCAACATGTCAATCACAGAAAAAAAAAACAGAGACATGTTTTAAAAAGCAGTTATTTTTCTCAACCATGAAATACATTTTACATTTTCATGGTCATCAGAAATATTTACCGGTAAATATTCAATTTCTTCTATGAATAATTGAATTTAAAAATCCTCAACTTTCTGGGCTGGATTGATGCTCTCCTTATTTGTACAAAGCCAGTACTAATCACTCACTTGTCACCTGTTATTCATTAACAGGACTATACAAAAGGTCACCCACTAAGACTTGTCATTTCACCTTGCATTCATATTATAACCGGTTACAATAATCTTGTTCTGGTTTACCCCAGTTGTTGTATCAAATAGACCCTATTGGAAGCATGCTCTTCCACATCTACTATATAAAACACAAGCATAGTTATCATATCCCGCTTATATCCACCATGGTGGTAGAATAAAACCGTGTTTCTTCTAGTTATATTTTGGCTTCTTCATGGTTCCACATGTGAGTTAAGGTAGCAACTGC